TAAAATCCTAGGTTAAAAAACGTCTGGGTACCTAGTAAGGATCGAACTCACGATACCAATACTCCGCGAGACTAGCTTGTTAACCATTACTGATAATTGTAAAATCACTATCTATATACATTACAGGTTTTATATGCGAGGGCCACTATGCAAACTTTTCACGGGTTCTTTTCAGCAATCGAATTGTTAAGGAAAAACTTTTAGCAAAATATTTAACTGAATACGTAACCTATGTCAGTATTGTAAATGCAAGCTTACCCACTCGCCTTTTAACTTTCCTTCTTAACCCTAACTCTTCTTCGCATGCCTTCATCAATTTTGACCCCCCTCCTTCCCATTTCCATTCATTTGCATTTTCCTCTTTAGGTCCCCACCCCCTTCAGCTGACTGAGGTTCGGTGGACAAGCACTGCCTCAATGAGTTTCATGTCAGAAAATACAGATCAGGGATTGTCTAAAAAATTAAATGTAAACTCGTATATCTTACTACGATTAACCCAATAGAGACGCGAAGAGATCCCATGCAGCCCTGGGTGTGTCTAGGGTAACTTAACCTGATAGAGACTATTCCTCGTCAGGTTAGTTTTGAATTGAGATTTCCTTTTCCTAGATTGTTTACCACACAAAGCTAGAGATCCCAATCTGTCCTGCTGTAAGCCACTCACTCTCTCTCTCTCTCTCTCTCTCTCTCTCTCTCTCTCTCTATATATATATATATATATATATATATATATATATATATATATATATATATATATATAAAAGGGCGTTTCATTAAGATGGATCAAAGTCAGTAGTAAATACATCAGTGTTATTGGTGAAAATTTATTTATTTCTCTATTGGATCATGTGGTTTAAAGTCATGGCAATTGTGTGTGAAAAATAATATTGCCCAAATGTCCGCCAAGGCATAGTTGCTCCTTAATCTCACCTATATGCCTTATTATCTGATCCTTCAACTATTGAATTGTTGTTGGCTTGATGGCATAGACTTTACTTTTGAGATGACCCCCAAAGGAAGAAATCTAAAGGCGTCAAGTCGCACGATCATGGTGGTCAATTGACTTCGCTGTTTCGAGAGATGATGCAACCTGGGAACTTCTCATTGCATTTCTGTTTGAACGTCCATTTTCGTAATAGTCTTCGATAACTTTAACACGTTGTTTTATTGTTAATCTTTCCATGGTTGAAATTGCGAAAGGCTTAAGTTGTTAAATCTGAAAGAAAAAGAAAAAATCATTGGACGCTTAAACTTAATTCACATTTAAAATCGGTCCAAGTTATTGGAACACCGTATATATATATGTGTATGTATGCTATTGGAACACCCTATGTTATTGGAACACCCTATATATATGTGTGTATGTATGTGTGTGTGTGTGTGCACATATGTGCACTTGTGAAAATGCATATAAGCTTACAGTTGCCTCTTTACGTTACTTACTTGATGCATGCTTTTACTTATGTGATGCATGTGTTTTTCTTACTTCAACCATGTGTGTGTGTGTTTGTGTGCGTATAAGTTTTTTTTTTATTTGTCTTATCTGTTTTCGTGAATACGACATATGTTTAAAAATACGTTTTAAGGGCAGATTTTTAAAGTAGAAACATTTTTTAATAATACGAATATGATTCAATCTCTCACCCAACGTTCCAAGGGTATTCGTGCAAAAAGTAAATGCAACTGCCTTGGCTGGAAATTGAACTCGCCCAGCCACTTCCACATCGATAACCACTATGGTACGCGCAAATACATATTTCCGTATTATTTATGCTTAAATGCATATATACTGCCGGTGGTTAAGAAAAGGCGAATACGTGCGTATGTGTATACGTGATTGTTTACTGAAATGTGTTACTGTTTAAAGCTCAGATATAAGGCGCTCGGGTTAGTAAGTTAGGGGAAAGAAATCATTTACCAAAAACGCACATAATACCAGATACATTTTTAACATTTTTTAGAAGAAATGTTATGATGACCATACGTGTCCCTGCTGGGAAAATAGCCCAAACATTACCTTTTATTCTTTTGATAATATCAACATCCAGCTGGTCCACGGGTGTTGATAACTAAGATATTTCGGCAATCTTTAAACTTCTTGCTCACAAAAAAAGCGGTGTGTGAAAAGGACGATTTTCCCTTGATACCGCTATTATTTTAACTACCTTCACTCTTCAGCAATGTTTATTGTTTTAAAATGTGATGGTTAGAATAATAATAATAAAACCTAAACATATGATTAAAGTGAATTATATACATATTTTTTTTTTTTTGTGGTGGTGAGGGGGTCTTGAGAATTTACAACAAAATATTAAACACTATTTGTTTATGAGATTATTTATTTACAGAAATATTTTTATATTTACAACATTCTAAGAGCTAATAAAATCGTAATAAAACTAATGCAATGCAATATTTATCATTTACCAATTTATAAAGAGATAAATATGGAAACAATATTTTATTCATAAATTTATAAACATTTATTAAATTATTAAAATATGTGAACCAACTCTAAGGAAATCCTTATTATTTACCATTTTATAAAGTTCGAATCAATTGGCAACTGTTGGCAAAGTGCAGAAGAAGAAATTGAGATGCTTTACTGTACGCTGGACAACGCCAAGGATCAATGCAAATCCCAAGAAATTGTAATCGTCATGGGAGACCTGAATGTCAAAGTAGACAAGGGTGGTGAAATAGTGGGAAAACTTGGACTAGGAAATCGTAATGAACGCAGAGAGAATGGGCCCAGTCGTGCACAGTGAACGAAAGGGCACTTAAGACGCATATGGACATGGAGAAGCCGAAGTGGAGAAAAAAAAAACCGAAATCGACTATATAACCATTGCAAGAGATTCTGGAATGCAATTTTACACCACAAAAGATACCCAAGTGCCGACTGTGGGAGCAACAACCTTCTACGGAAATTGAAGAGGGCCACGACAGCTAGCACCCAAATTCGAATATGACAGACTCCAGAATGACTCGAAGGTTAAGGACAAATATACTGACAGTGTTAAAAGCAGATATAATGAACAAAATCAGAATGGATATTCGAAGTAGGACACATTAAGGGACACTTTAGTAACATCAGCAATCGAGATCGCCCCAAAGAAATCTAGACAAAGAAAAAAGGAATGGATGACTGAAATCATCGACATGATGATAAAGAGACAAAAAACAATACCAAGATATAGTATAAAACATAGGACATTTCACAAAGAACTTAGGAACAAAGGCAGGCGAGCTACAGAGGAATGACACAATGAAAATTGTACAGAAATAGAAAGAATGTGTATTACAAATAAAGCAGATATGCATAAAATAAGAGAACTAACAATACAAAAGACATACTCACCAACAAGTTGCATAAAACCCAAGAACGGTACACTGATATTAGAGAAAGAAAATGCTTCAGATATAGAACAAATACACCAGAGAAGTCTTCTACGACGAAGTGAAATCAAAACTGGCCAAATTGAACCGAAAAAAAGCAGCAGGACCAGACGGAATTGCAATAGAGATACTGACAGTTTTAGATATTTTCGGTATTGTCAAGATTATAGACATAATAAATGAAATATACAACAGTAGTGACTTAACGGCCTATGTAGATCCATTTTCATAGCACTACCTAAGAAGCCAAGTGTAAACGATTGTGAACTTCATCTGACTATCAGCGTAATGAGCCATATAAAAAAACTTATCATCCGAATTCTGATGAATAAAGCATGCAGCAAAATCAGACCATAAATAAGACAAGAATAATGCGGATTCGTTAAAGACAATTGGACAAGCAATGCGATATTTATGCTCATATTGAAACCAGAAAAAGCAAATTTATGCACAGAATATCAGAAAGGCAAAACGATGTATGCCTATGTTTTTTTTAGATTATGCAAAAGCGTTTGTTAAAGTACGTAAGAAAGAACTGTTGCAACTGCTGGTAACCTTGACATATTTGGGAAGGATAGAATAACCCAGAACCTATACTGGCAGCAAACCGCCTGTATATGGATAGAAAATGAAATCAGTAAATATACAAAAATAGAAAGGGGTGAAAGACAAGGATGTGTCTTCCCAACGCATTTATTCAATCTATACAGTGAGAAGATTCTGAGAGAATTACAAGTCTTACCGGAATTCATTGTTGGCGACCACTATCTTAACAGCATAAGATATGCAGATGACACATTTTTGATAACAGGCACAGAAAGCAAACTACAATAACTCCTACAGAGGGTGGCGAAGGAAAGCGAGAAGAAAGGACTAAACATCAATTGCAAGAAGACAGAATTCATGCTTGTCAGCAAAAGGAACCGCCGAATATGCAAATTACAAATTGGAGATACCAAAACCAAACAAGTACACCAATGTAAATATCTGGGAAGTGTTTTAACAGGGGACGAAAAGTGAAAACACTGCAATCCGAATGCTCATTGGGATAGCGAAAGATGCCTTCCTAAAGCTAAGCACAGTATTAGGAAACAGGACATTTTCGTTAGAATCGAAGAAAAGAGTAATGAACTGTTATGTAATATCGGTCCTCTTACATGACAGTGGATGCTGGACAATTTTCTTACAGATGAAGAAAAGACTTGAGGCAACAAATATGTTGTTCTATAGAAGGATTCTGAGAATACCATGGACTTAATATGTGAACAACGAGGAAGTTTTAGAGAAAATGGAAACGAACGGATACTTACACTTAACATCAAGAAAAGACAGTTGAAACTTCTAGGGCGCATAATGAGGAAAGAGGGCTTGGAAAATTTGACACTCACAAGACATAGAGAAGGCAAGAGAGACAGAGGAAAACAGGGCATAACCTTCATAGCAAGCTTGAGTAAATGGATGGCGAAGCAAGGTTTAAACGAGATAACAAAAAGACTAAATTTACTAAGAGTTACAAAGGACAGGAAATTGTGGAGGGCAATGATCGCCAACGCCCTGCAGAGACACAGCACATAAAATATAAAGAATATGATGAAATTAATATGTTTATTTCTTTCTCTCCACCTCTCTTTTTTCTCTCTATCACTTTCTCCCATTCTCTCTCTCTCTCTCCCTCCCTAACCGTTTCCTTCGAATTCCAACTCCTGGATTCTCTTTCTACTTATTTTACACTGAAATTTACCTGGAGGTGGGGTAATGGTTACTAGTGCGTAAAACGAAATCTGCGAATCTAGTTCGAATTCCAGCTGAGGTTGCATGTGTTCACTTCTCACTAATGCCCGTAGGAAAGGCATGAATCCACATCCTTCCTCGATCTGGCCTGGTGCCAAGCCTTATAAACAAATGTCTTAGCTCCGAACGAAATCATCGTACAAGTTTGACTCATACGCACAAACGCTCGCGCATGCGTATTGATCTACTGTTGCGTATTTCTCACTGGCCGGCGTTCGAAAGCTTGCGAAAACTAGGACCTCAACGGTGGAGAAGAGTTACTTTGAAAGCGCGACATGAAGTTCGTGATGATGGTTAATGTTTAGGAATAAATCTGAGAAAATGTTAAGATCAACAAATAATGGCATATTTAAAATTTACTTGTAAATTAATTCAGTTTTTTTGTTTCTGGCAAAATCACAAATCATTTTGTTATAGAAAGTATCAACAGCTCTTCCTTCATTTTCAAAATGGAGAAGTAGCTTTTTTTCTCAGTTCATTTCCTGCTCGCTCAACCTAAATCCTCCAACATTCTTTCATTCAGTTCAGCCATGTTCTCTGTGATAGTGCATAGAACGGTAGTATGTCTGAGTGTCGAAGGACAAAGTGTCGAAAGACAAAATGACGAATGGACAAAATGTCGAACAAAGTGTCGAACGGACTAAGTATCGAACGAACAAAATGTCGAATGGACAAAGTGCCAAACGCAAAAAAGAATCAGACTGACTAAATGACGAATAGACAAAGTTTCAAAAGGACAAATTGTTGAACAAAATAAAACGAACATATCATAATGATTTTAAAACTAGGTTCAAATAATCAATTAAGCTACTCTAAACGTTTTATTGCTTAGCTCTGGCATCATTTAATAAATAATAGCTTTAAAAGTGATTAAGGCTCCATAATTATCGGTTAGCGGTCCAATTTCGGGGGTGGGGGGGTCATTTATTCCGCTCTATTTTTTTATCCAATTGCATTGAGTCTTCTCACATATATATTCATTGGGGACTATAAATAGGCGCCTACCTCAAAATTTAGTTTATTTACTAAATTCTTCCTTCAAGATTTAAATGTTATAATTCCATTTGTTCCTCCCAGTGATGCTTATGTTGTCTTCAATAAATTAATAGAGTCTTTTATATTAGTTCAAAAGTTAAAAAAACAATTTTTTACCGGCAGGATACTTGCATGTTATGTAAAAGGTATTCTATTGTAGACACATTTCTGACCTTTCGTCATTTAGTCAGTTCGACTCTTTTCCCGTTCGGCACTTTGCCTGTTCGACATTTTGTCCATTCGTCATTTTGTATTTCGACACTGTCTGCATATTGCATAGAACGGACACAGGAGTATTATACGGAAGCAGAGGCCATTTCTGCTTATACTACACAACAAATGTCGCTTGTTCCCAATTTGTTCTAAGAAATGAAGGAATGGGAGTGTTTAAAATAAAAAATATCACAATTGCAAGATGTATAGTAAGAATTATCAATAATTAATTTTTTATTGCACAAAAATTATTTATCCTGGCAAATATCTAAGTCAGTCATGCGCAAACTACAGCCCGCGTGCTACACGCGGCCCGATCGGCTTTCTGAATGGCACGCCTAATTTCATGAGGGAAATAATGTTTATTAAATTGTTGTTTGTTTCTTTTCGTTCTCACTTGTTCACTCACACACTCTCTCATACATAGCCAAATACATAAACAATTATTAAATACAATGTTTCTTGAATTTTGTAACTTTTTGTTGAAGGTAACTTTATCAACATTTTAAACCATTGGCGATTTTCACTAACGTTGATTGATTTATTTCGTTTTACAGCATATCAATCTCAATGGGTTATTTAATGCCGACAAGATTTTTAGGATAGGTTCATATGAATAGAATATGTATTCTTTATTAGAAATCAGTTTGTAGATCAGGTTTCATTGTCGTATTTTAGTAAAGAGGGTTTTTTGTCGAGTGTCAAATCTATTACTGGTAATATTTTTTTTTTTAAATGTATTGCTGGTATTTTATTCTAAAAATGTATTGCTGGCATTTTTACAATAAATATCTATTTTCATACATTCATAGTGTTTTGACGCCAGTTTGGGAGTTACCTATTTGCCCATAGCTGGGACCCTAACAGATGCTACCATCCGGGATCAGAGTGAAACTGGGAAAAACTGCAATAAAGAGGTGGTTTCACATTATGTAGTTTATCATCATACCCAGGACGTTTTCAATAAGGAAGATCATACATGTAAACATCTTTTCCTTCAAAAACAGAAAACGCCAATGATAATTATTTTTCTCTAGAGAATAAATATAATTCCTCTTTTACAAATATTTTTGTATAGTCAAATGAATAAATCAGAAACAAGTCACACGCAGCAGTGGGTGTTAGTCACTCTGTCATCAGTGATAATTTTATACCAAGACTACTGTTTTTTTTTTAAATTATAGAAGGAATATTTTCTCCAAAGAAAAACAAAATCGTTTTTTCCCTATTTCTAAGGCAGATGCGCATGCGCATGCTCTTTTGATGGGAAAATGGCTGCTGTACCTTATAATAAAATTACCTTGATTTTTTTTAGTTGTGCGGCCCGCTGTATGGTGTACTGTACTTTAAGCTGACCACTGTTCGAAAAAGATTACCCATGCCGGATCTAAGACATGTGGTGCACGCATTACATGCACTGACGTCTAGTCACTGGATCACAAATTCTGATATTTCAAAGCAGTCTATTCTCAGTAGGAAGATTGACGGAACACAATCTTCCTATTCACTATTTGCTTATATTTGAACTAGTGCCCAACTAAACTCAGTATTGGGTGTATTATATGAGGTAATAGCCAAAACGTCAAAGAATTTGACCACGAGAAAAAGAAATAAAGAAAAATGGCTCACAACTTGTAATGGCTTCGCAAGGCTTCTCCGCGCCCGGGTGACAAAGAAACTTCTGGTGCCTGCACTTCTGAAATGTTTTGATTATTTGTGTTATGACTTGTTATCCACTTAGTGCAAATAACCTAAAGAACGAAAAGGCACCCACAGAGTGCATACTTCTCCCAACGCCATTATCAACCTATATGCAAGGGAGGTAACTATTGACATTCAGACCTCGAAAAATCTTATCACTTATTCTCTCGTCCGTAGTATATCCTGTTATAGAAGTTTATTAAGAACTTTTGTAGATATTTTGTTGTTGACGTAGTAAAAATTATTGCTGTGTTTTAGTATTTGCACTATTTACATTGTTCGGACTGTTGTCCTCGTCTTTATTGTCATATTCAAGACGTTTCGGCCATTGTACGCTCCGGCAATGTTCAGGTGATATAAGTTGGAATTTCGAATCGAACCCTTTATTTCGTCCACTGGTGTAGATTTTTCTAGTTCCACGTGCCATGCCTTTTTTTTTTTTTTGATATCTCAGTTTCAGTTATTTCCCTTTAGTAACTCAGCTCTCAAAGTTCTTGTTAACCTCTGCTGTGGCCAGGTATTGAACTCACAACTCTTTGGTTCAAGTCATTGGATTACTTCAGCCAACGCCTTTTTTTCCACACTGAGCCATGATGAAGGCCGGAGGGTACAGTGGCTGAAACATCGTGAATATGACAATAAAGATGAGGACAACAGTCCGAATAATGTAAATAGTGTACATAATACCTCATCTCAGAAATATAGACAGATACTGAAGGGCCGAAACGTTGTAATAAATATGGTGACAAAGATGAGGACAATAGTCCGAATAATGTAAATAGTGTACATAATACCTCAACTCAGAAATATAGACAGATACTGAAGGGCCGAAACGTTGTGATAAATATGGCAACAAAGATGAGGACAATAGTCAGAATAATGTAAATAGTGTACATATACATCAACTCAGAAATATAAACAGATACTGAAGGGCCGAAACGTTGTGATAAATATGACAACAAAGATGAGGACAACAGTCCGAATAATGTAAATAGTTACAATATTTCATCTCAGAAATATAGACAGGTACGTGTTGTAGTAGTATTCAACTTTTGGTTGCCATTAAAAAATGTAATGTTTTGAAAATGGGCGATTTAACTATGAGAGTAGTTTTTATCGGTAGCGGAGGTAATTGTGCATGGATTCATCCAAAAATTTCATTAACTCTTCTGTATCTCATGATCAGGTATTCTATCAAATTTTATAGAAATGCATTGAAAATCCTTTGAGACATCTGTATTACATAGTTTGAATAATGTTTCAAGCAGGTAGAATAATTTTCTTTCATATCTATAGTTTTGAAACACGTTTAATATGAAAAGCTAATTAATTGTTGCATACATCGATTATGAAACGGATTGAAAAAATACGACTTCAGTTTACAAATAATAGATTTTATTTGTTTATAAACTATATATACTTAATTAGATCTTTTACAGTTATTATTCTGTCAACCATTGTTATATTTTCTTTACTATAAGATATAAATCGTTCGTCCTTTTTGCAGTAGCAGTTGTAAAAGGACGAAAGGACTCCCTTCCGGCTTCTTACTTCCTAGTCAACTTTGATCTTCAATAATGTAAATGCAATGTCAATCGTTATATTCTGTCTTCTTAATTCCTGTTCTTTTATTTTTCTCTCTCCTTAATGATGTTTTTTCTCATATTCTCTAACACGCAGTAGCCCTCTGTGTCTTAGTGGCTTTATTGTCTTACTTGGGATGAACTGATAAAAACAAAAAACAATTATAATTTCAGCATTTAAGTTATTAAGCACGTCTCTTCAAATGCATATTAAACATACAAGCGGATCTACCTTCGGTCAGATTTCAAGGACTGGTCACCTTTTGCCGTGGTTCGATTTTTGTCTGCGTCGGTATGAACGGAACTAGGAAAAAACCCGGTGAAAGTTCACAATGGAACGGAAGCGGAAATGGAAATACCGCCACGACGAGAAAACAAAACACGATATACGAGGTTCTTTATTCATGGATTCACCTGGCACTGTCTTGTCGGGGCGTAGGCAGGTGATACTTGGAGCATCTTCGCTTCTAATTCCGTCTGCACTCACGACAGACGAACAGACCAGATCTTCCCTTCGGTCAGCTAAAATTTCGTCTCCCTACTACTCTACATCTCTCTTAATATGACCATAATTTTGACTGCCTCATGACTGCGACCTTCACCGAACATCTCTATGACTCTCTTGTAACAAGAATGAGGTCCGACTATATAAGCCCATGACCGGAATTCTCTACTGTCCGACCGAGTGTTACTTGTTCTCGAAACTATTTACACGTTTTATTTTTTCCCCAATTTACGGACAGCGGTTGGTTACTTTGAAGCTCTCACATCTCGATTTTACTAACGGTGCAATTGATAGTTATACAACACCAGTTATTTCAGAACCAAATAAGATCATTCAAATTACTTAACATTTTGAGTGTCCTAACCAATCAAGTGGGGCCCCATTGTGTCGCAATATTGCCAAGTCACTGAATCATTCTCTGGACACTGTGGTAAAAATTAATTTCAGTGCGTTGAAGGACATTTCGCAATTGACAATGGAAACCCTATATTTATTTTATTCAATTTCAGTCGAGATCACAGTCCACAACACTTCTCTATAATCTTTTCAATGACTATATAGAATGAGTCTCACCCGGTCTAGATACCGGTTTCGAACACAAAGTCGTCCTTTTCTTAAACTGGTCGCCGACCACGGCTAAAGAACCCGGTCTGCCCTGCTATTTAACCTATAGCTCTAAGGGTCAAAGATTTATTCCTTACCCAAAGGTATTTGTGTGGAAGTGAATGCAACGAACTTGGTTTATTAGAACTCGGATCGTCGATTTCTACTTCTGAACTGTTGGATGTTTCTGTGCTTCCACATCCTCTAAACCGGAAACCGCAATTGTTAATAAAATTTGAAATTCAGAGAATAGGAAAAAAATCTAAGAATAATGAGGAAATGACTTGAGATTATACATTAAAGGATAATCCCAACACACGTTGTTTTTTTAATCATTTCACCTCAAGCAAGGCAATAAAGCCAGTAGGACGCAAGAGGTTACTGAGTTAGAGAATAAGAGAAAAAACTACCATTAAGGAGAGAAGACAACAAAAGAAGAGAATTAAGACAGAAGTTAAAGATTGACATTGCACTTAAATTTTTGAAGATCAAAGTTGAAATGGAAGCAAGAAACCGACAGAGAGTTCCACAAGCGAGAAGTGCGAGAGAAGAAACTGTTAGCATAAAACTTCGTCTAGCTATTTCAATTGTAAATTGATGAGACGTTTCCGCCAACCTAGTACTGCGCTTTAATTCAATAAAATTCGGGTACCATAGAGGAACGTTCATCAGAAAAATTACCATGAAAGTATTTATAGAAAAGACACAGGGAAGCTACGTTATGGCGGTGAGAAAGTGAGTGAAACCAAGATACCAGGTCAGGACTGATAACATTTCAGATTTTATCAAGAATCGTTAAATATATAGCGGGAGCACCAGACCAGATGTGGCAGCAATATTCAAACCAAAGACGAATGGTAGACTTTTAAATATGTAAGATAAATTCTAGCAGGAAAAATTGTCTATTCTCATTATTCTTATTATTTTGGATGACTAAAACGAAGTTAAAATTTGAAAATGTGTGATTAGAATATGAAATCACGTAGAAATTTGCGTCTGTCTATGATTAAGATGTGATTGATTGATTGGTTCGTTTTCTATGGTTTATCGAACTTTTACTGGTAATTTAAAAGCCAGAAAATATATTATATATCCCAGTCTGCCCATATCTATCTATATATTGATGCCTTTATTTCTCTCTTTCTTAGTCTATATCTATCTATCTATCTATCTATCTATCTATCTATCTATCTATCTATCTATGTCTTCTTTCATTCATTCTTCTTTCTTAGTCTATATCTATCTGGCTATCATTTCTTTAATTTTTCTTTCTTTCTTAGTCTATATCTATCTATCTATCTATCTATCTATCTATCTTTTCTTTCTTTCATTCTTCTTTCTTTCTTAGTTTATATCTATCTGACTATCATTTCTGCCATTCTTCTTTCTTTCTTTCTCTTTTTCTTATTATCTATCTATCTATCTATCTATCTATCTATCTATCTATCTATCTATCCTTTCATTCTTCTTTCTTTCTTTCTCTCATAGTATCTATCTATCTATCTATCTATCTATCTATCTATCTATCTATCTATCTCTTCTTTCTCTCATTCGTCTTTTTTTCTTCTATCTGGTTATCGTTTCTTTCTTTCTTAGTATCTATCTCTCTATCTATCTATCTATCTATCTATCTATCTATCTATTCTTTCTTTCATTCTTCTTTCTTTCTTTCTTTCCTTCTTTCTTTCTTTCTTTCTTTCTTTCTTTCTAAGTATCTATCTATCTATCTATCTATCTCTTCTTTCTCTCATTCGTCTTTTTTTCTTCTATCTGGCTATCGTTTCTTTCTTTCTTAGTATCTATCTATCTATCTATCTATCTATCTATCTATCTATTCTTTCTTTCATTCTTCTTTCTTTCTTTCTTTCTTTCTTTCTTTCTTTCTAAGTATCTATCTATCTATCTATCTATCTATCTATCTATCTATCTATCTATCTATCTATCTCTTCTTTCTCTCATTCGTCTTTCTTTCTTAGTCTATATCTATCTGGCTATCGTTTCTTTCATTCTTCTTTCTTTATGTCTATCTATCTATCTATCTATCTATCTATCTATCTATCTATCTATCTTTTCTTTCTTTCTTTCTTTCTTTCTTTCTTTCTTTCTTAGTCTATATCTATCTGGCTATCATTTCTTTCATTCTTCTTTCTTAGTATCTATCTATCTATCTATCTATCTATCCTTTCTGTCTTTCTCTAAATAGGTATATGTAGTGTGCAAAGAAGTTGGGACTATTTAATTGATCCTTGATGATTGTTCTGATGAGCATTCCCCATTTGGCGCCTCGATTTTACCAATGTAAGCGCAGCACCAGATTGGCGGCAAGGTCTCATTATTTTACAGTTGAAATTACAAGGTGTAACCGTAAGTTCTATGTTAACAGTTCTCTCCTCTCGCACTTATCGCTTGTGGAACTCTTTTCCGGTTTCTTGCTTTCCAGCCAACTTTTGATTTTCAAAAAATTAAATGCAATATCAGTCGTTATTTTCTGTCTTCTTAATTCCCGTTATTTTATTGTTCTGTCTCCTTAATGTTATTTTTTCTCGTATTCTCTCCCACTCAATAACCCCCTTGCGTCCTAGTGACTTTATTGCCTTGCTTAGAGTGAAATGACTTTAAAAAAATTCAACTCATTGTCAAAGTTCCAGGTTTTACGAACGATGTCGGTATGAGTATGTAGAATGCGTAAGAAGATTTTTTTTGTCGTTGTCGCTTTCGACTTATCGAAAAGTTCCGAATTCGGTGCCGGCGTTGTGATAGATAAAAATTTAATTAGGTAATCGTTTTGCCATTGCTAGCATTGGGAACACTTGGGATTTATTTTTGATATTTCTATATGTCCTTATTATTTGATAAACTATTTTATTTTATTTTTATCTCTCTTCATTCACTTACTTTTTTTTTTACTTATTACCATGCTTATGCCTTACGAAGACGTAAATACACCAACCAGGAACGATTAACGTCTTGTTTAATCAGAAATTATCGTGTTACACTACAATAGTATACGGGAAACCCACGTAGAAGGAGACTGTAAATGATTTATTTATGACCAGCAGTGGAGTCTGTGGAGTGAGGTCTTCAAAGCAGTCACATACTTGACCAAAAAGGAATAAAATAAATAAATAATAAAACTTTTGGGATCAAGTGAAAATTAACCGGACGTTAGAGATTTCCGTTTTCAGGCTTTTATAAACAGTCACAGTTGGGATTGAAGTTAGTTTCAGGACGCCCCTTACCGAGTGGACGGTGTCTGTTATACAGAAATGACAGTTGTCCCAAGTGTGACCTACCTTGCCACCAAAACCGTGCAAGTAAATCTCTGAAATAAACAATATGTGGGGAAACTATATGTGTTTTACATTTCGCGCCGTGGCGTTAAATTTCACCTTTTTCCTTTTTGAACGTACAATGGACATTTCGTTGTTTTCGAGCACACCGACGCGAACGAGAATAGAGAGGAAACATGGGGTTATGTGTCAGATCGGTGAAAGTTTCGCTGTATGTTTACCGTCATTCATAGAGTACTCGTCTCTGGCAGCAAAACGAACATTTTATGTTGAAATTAGTGTGCTTCCATTTTCTGTGTGATGTGAGTGTGTTACAAATGTTGTGCCTGGTGCATCGAACTTCATGAAGGAAAAATCACAATGTATTAAATTATGAGGTCATCTTCATTTACATTTAAATTAAATTCGTTTCTGGCAATGTTGAATTCACTTCTCCCTCCTTTTTTATTTATTTATTTATTTATTTTTTTTGGTGGGGGGGGGTTGTAACAGGTTTAAATACAGTTTCTTCGCTGTATTCTTTTTCTCAATCTTTCAGACTGATCTCTCTGTTGACATTAAAAGGAGCAGATGAATGGGTTACTGGTGTTATCAATTCCCACAAGGAAAGTTTTCATCAATTTTCTTGAAGGGGCCACCGAAGCTATATATTGTGCGCATCTTTCGCGTTCTGCGTCCCAGTCTCTTTTATCAACATAATCGGCTAAAAGATTACTCTTAGGCTCTTAATACAAGGATTGGTCATAATAGTATAGGGGAGTCGGGATTTTCTCAATATGCAATAAACGGGATATTTTAATAAAAGGAGGGGGTCGAAAAATCATTTACAGAGCCAGATATGTAGAAAGTAAGTAAAAAAAAATTACTTTAAAACAAACATTACCTTTAAAGAATAGAGCATGGTGATTTTGGAAAGAATAAAAAAAAGAACAATGGAACATTATTATTTTTTAAAAAACGCAGTCCTAAAAGTGCTCGTCCTGGATATGACATTAAACTACATCTGGCAGTTACAAGGCCTCTGATCAGGAGGTTTTGAGGAGTGTGTCACCACCTCTAAATTGCCGTTGTTCCCAGGTCCACCCTGACCTGGGGTGGTAGCACTTGTTAGGATCCCAACTCTAGGCAAATAGATAACACCCAAACTGAGGTCAAAACACTTTGAAAGTATAAAAATAAATATTTTACTGTATTAGTACCAGCAATACATTTTTGTAAAAAAAAAAAAAAAAAAAAAGAACAAACCATATTACCCGCAATATATTTTTAAAGAAAAAAATATTAACAGTAATACAATTTTTTTGTAAAAATATATATTATCAGAAATGAATTTAAAAAAAAAAAAAAAAATTACCAACAATACATTTTTTAAAAGAAATTATTAATACTCACAAGTAAATTAAATTTCGGCATTAAATATTTAATGATAAGGAGTTAATGTGTCGTTAAACGGATACAGCAATACAATTTTAAAGTAATATGGCCAGCAATACATTTTATAGTAAAATGACTAATAATACATTTTATCTGTAGTTGAAGGCATACAATTATGTTCAAAATATTTAAATTTCGGCATTACCCGTAAAGGTTGATAGTGATTTTCTAAGCACAGCTTAGATGTGGCACAAGGCCGAATGTATAGGGCACCCATCAAAGATCGAACTCACTACTCAGTCGTAATTGATCTAGCAAGACAAGCTTTCTAACCATTACACCACGTCGAGGTGCCCAATGATTTTCTAAGTGTAGCTTAGATGTGGCACAGTATGGGACGCCCAGCGAGGATCGAACTCACTACTCACTCTTAATTGATCTAGAGAGACAAGCCTGCTAACCATTACACCACGTCATGATAAACAAAACAAACCAAACCTAAAAGCGTTCAACTAAAAACTTTAACCTAATGTTATAATTATTGTTTCCTGTTTCAGCTCTGGGGGAAAAGAGCAAAATTAATAAACGGAATGGTCCCAATAAGTTCGGTAAATTACCCCGAAAAATAAATGTCTCTCAACCACGCCCTTTATTAGCTAACTTAGAGTAAAGTAATACATAATAAATACAGCGGCGTAAAGACATTCTAATGTGACAGGGATCGAACGCAAATCCCAAATGTAGCTGGCGGTTTGTTGCGAAACAATCTCATGATACACCGATGGGAGGTGTGCGACAGAACTAAATTGTTCATTTTTCTCTTGTTAAATAAAAGGCACCACGACACATATAAATTAATTTTCAATTCGTTATCTTCTTTTTCTATGTACAGGACGTTAGTGACCATGGCTCTCCACAACTTCCTCTCCTTTGTAGCTCTTAGTAGTGTGTATCTTTGAGCTATCTCTCCTAATCCCTGTTCTGCCAACCATTTACATAAATACGTTAAGTAAATTATTCCCTGCTTTCCTTTGTCTCCCTTGCCTTCAACAAATCCTGCGAGTGTTAAACTCTCCAAGCCATCTTTTCTAATTATATGCCCTAGACATTTCTGATTTTAAGTATAATTGTCCTTTTAGTTTCCATTTTCTTCGTCGTCGTTGGTATGTTCAGTCCAGGGTATTCTCAGCGTACATCCTTCTGTAGAATTACATACCTTCTACCTCAAGTCTCTTCTTAATTTGTAAGGAGATTGTCTAGCATTCAATGCCGCATAGGAGGACCGACATTACATAACAGTGCAGTTAGCTTTACTTTGTTTCTAAGAAAATTCAGTGCTGGGTATGACGATAAACTACATCCATCAGCAAGGCATCTGATCGGGAGATCGAAGTTTCTGAGAAGCGTGTTGTTGTTCTCAGGGCCAACATTCTATGGTGGTAGCACCTGTTAGGGTCCAAGCTATGTGCATATAGTGAATGCTCAAACAAAAACAAAACACTATAAATGTATAAAAATACATTATTATAGAATACCAGCAAAACATTTATATATATAAAAAAGTAGCTACAATATCTATTTATACTAAAATTAGCAACAGTACCTTTTTATAATAAAATTGAAAACAATACATTTTATAGTAAAATTACCAACAATACATTTCATCTGTAGTTGAAGGTATACAATTGCGTTTAAAATATATTTAGTTGCAGCCATAAAATTGTGTTCAAAACATTTAGATTTTGGCATTAAATAACCGATAGAGGTTGATATGCCGCTAAACAAAATCAACCAAACAATCAACATGGAAGATCTCTTTCCTGGTATTAATCCATATAATATTCTAAAATTTCTTAAAGAAATCAAACTGTATTCCAAAATATAACTTCAACAAACTACAACATAAAACACACTCTAGTAATTATGTCCACACAAATATGTATATGTACAAAAGCTGAATATCATCTACCATGTATTCAATTGCGAAAGTAGAATAGCATATCATCTTTTTATTACTTCCCAAGAAAATTAAATGTCGGCATTAAATGACTCATACGGCATTGATATGCCGTTAAACAAACAAATCAAATAAAACTAACAAAACTACATCATAAAACAACTATATCACCGCCTCTAGTAATCATGTCCACACAAACATGTATGCGCACAAAAGCTGAGTATCAACTACCATGTATTCAATTGCGAAAGCAGAATAACATATATCATCTTTTTATTACTTCCCAAGAAAATTGAATTTCGCCATTAAATGACCCATAAGGCGTTGATATGCCGTTAAACTAACAAATCAATCAATCTACCGAAATTTCCCTGCTTCTTAATACTTTGGAAGACATCTTTTGCTATTCTAATGTGTCTTCGAATTTGTATTTGAAATCAGAACAAAAGGAAGATACAATTTTAAGAGAAATATCGAATTGTCATATTGTGTTTGAAAAGCAAAAGACAATCGAAAAATTCTTTGTAATCCATGTTTTTTGGAGCCCATAATACTTGTGACGTTTACGCACGTTTGACAACA